AGGTCGGACACAATCGCAAAAATTATCTGAATCGGGCTACTTCCTCAACCACATAAAAATTGTATTACATAAAATCTTTCCTTTATTATGTTGTAAGCATTAGAGTTTTTCGTTAACAGTATTTGTTACAATAAACTTTGCGCAAACAAGAAAAAAAACATGATAATCCGTCTACGAAATTACAACTATTAAAACAATTTCATCTGACCCATGCATCATCAACATTACGTCGTTGTCTGTTTTGACTTCCTCCAACCAAACATTAGTTCTTCCTGTCGCAAGTGAGGTTGTTGTTCGTATTCACTGGATCCTTCTAATTTTTCCCCCTCCACGATGTCTCTATCTAGCCATCGCATCAATTATCGCTTCAGACCCTCCATGGAGTGAATGTGCCAGAATTTCATTTTTATCGGAGGTTTCGTGGCGGAGAAGATAATGTAACCATCTTTGGTAAAAATCATGGGCGATGTCATGACGCAAATAACAGAGTAAAAAATAAGAAAACAGTGCAAGAAAGTCTGAGAAATGACGGAGAAACGGACGAATTATTTATAAAAACAGCATTTTGCCCTAGGAGCCAAGTGAGATGGCGCCTCCTCTCACTTTTAAAGTGCATGCGCCATCTCACTTGGCTAAAAGAGAGAGGAGGCGCCAAGTGAGATGGCGCCTAGGGCATAATGCTTAGTGGAGGCGCCAAGTGAGATGGCTCCTCCTTTGGGGAGTCATCTGAAACATGGTTATTTGCATAATTTTTTCTGAAACATGGTTATTTGCGGGAAAAAATTTTAAAACATGGTTATTCCAAAAAAAATCAATTTTTTATGTTAATTTTGTCAATAGGGGATTTTTGGTCATAAGCTTAATTAGCTAAACCTAAATTTGAGGCTATTTAAGTGTGGTATCAGATTGAAATTGGGGGAGAACAAAAATGCAAAAACTAAATTTCTATTCAATCTCGTTCTCAGCTCCACAAATTACTCACGAAAATAGAGTCTTCCTCATTCGATTCACGTTCATCTTTAATTACCCTCCGTAACCAATCCTTACACTTTGTCATTCATTTCGACGATGTTAGCTCACGTTTCTTTAAGCGTTTATGCTTCGAGTTATTACTCGATATTGGTGCTTGAGAAAATCAAGTGGAAAGAGTTCCTTACTTCCACTTTGAAATTCATTAAATTCATTGTTTGTTGCTAGCTCACACTTAATTTTTGTTTTGGTTCGACTTTGTTCCATTGCATTTGTGTTTGTGTTTTTCTTTAGATCTTTGCATGTTCCTTTAGGATCACTTGTTTCGTTCTCGATTCAAGGTAGACATTAGGATTTTAATCCATGTATGCTAATTTAGTTAGATATTCCCTTTTGTATCTAAATTTTAGGACCACCATTGTATTATAATTTTAGTATTGTTAGTCACTCTTAGACTTTTTCATTCCCCTTTTGTATCATTAAAACAAAAACTTATTTTCTTTAATAAATGTTAAACCACATAAGCATATTTTAACCCTTTCAAAAAGACTAAAAAAAATCCAACCTCATTCAAATCTTTTTGTGCGCTCGAGCAAATTTTCACTTTAAAACCTTTTTCAAGATTAGACATGATTCATTTATAATCAAGATGAACTTCCTCCATCCCCATGATTGTCAACTTCTCCACTTGAGTATTAGAGGTGTTATCAAACCCTCCCTCATGTTGGTGCATAGTCCTTCTTTCTTTATCATACCTTGTGGGTGTTTAGACGAGTCTTCTCATTAAAATTGACGACTTGTCTCTTCATTTAAAATCAATTAACAAATCAAGTTTTGTTCTTTTCTAGCTGAACTACGGTGCTCTGACTTTCCCAGTGTACGAGAGAGTACGTAGGCACTAGGTCTCACGATCCAAGGTGATCAAAAATAATTTAAAAAAAAACATTTATTTTGTTTGTAAATATTCATTCTTTCATTATCTTTAGTAATTTTAAGCTTTAGATAACACACTCTCTGATTAAAACAAACAAAGTGGATCCTACAGAGTACCGTAGATGTTTAGGGTACTAATACCCCTTCTTTGCATAATCGACCCTCGTACCTCGATCTCAAATCTTTCTTGTCTTTTTGGGGTTTTTATTCGCTCTTTTTCCATTTTCCCTTTGGAAATAATAAAGTGTGGTGGCGACTTCATTGAGTGAGATAAGTTAATTGATGGTTTAGTCTTAAATCTTTACCGCTACATTTTTTGTATTATATACAGTGTGACAGTTGAGAGTAAATTATGTGTTATAACAATTTTCACATAGTATTATTCTCTAGATTTCATTTGATAACGGTCGTGATTTTTTCTATGATTTTTGAGTTTCCACGTTAATCTCTTGTGTTGCTATTTTGTTCCTCTTTTTTTCCTCTGTTTTATTTTTTTCTAACATAAAATTATGTCAATATTAATAAATAACATTAATATATAAGTACTTGAACTCAATGATTTCCATTACAAAATCAATACAATAAATAGGGACGACAGGATAATGTAAAGTCGTCATAGAAAAGAAAGTCAGACTAGAATATCTTAAGCGAACAAGAATGGTCATATAGTAATTTTCTATCACATAACCTATGGTTGGTAATGTCATCCATTTCTCCTGTCATTTAGGCATAAACATGATATCATCAAAGATTATCTCACTTCTGATAATCGATCTCCAAAAAAGAGACTTGGTCTAGCTTTTATTTAATTATTCAATTCTCGACTGACAATGGATCAACCATCCTCACTATATTTATGCAACGATGCAATGACTCTGAACCCATAATTTTTATATGCTTAAAAATCAACTATATCATCAATATATGGCCTAATATATTTAGGAAATTGAGCAATAAATTGATTGAGTTGATTACTTCTTAGTTGATTGCTTCTTATATTGGTTTTGGCCTTTTTATGATCTTTGATAATCAGAGTATGCTTGGTCAATATGCCCATGATATGAAGGATCCCGATAAACATCATATACTACTAGTTTCTTCCCTTTCTTCTTCATTTCTCCTTTGATTTTAATTTTTTGAGGCGGTGGACACATTGAACTCATAGTGGGGTAAGCAATTTCACACACCCTACTTTTTAATATTCTTTTTTACAACAACATCTAATGACCTGAACTTATCCACAATGTTTTTATTGCACTTGTCATGTTCAAATGGATATGAACATTATCTATAGGTGTTGAATCACAACCCAGTCTGTATTTTCCTAAATCACAAGCACAAGACAACGCATATAATATTCTAAGATTACACCGCCATATTTGGGTATTAGTTTTCACATAACCAACCCTCAAAAACTCTCCAGCAATGCGTCTCAAAGCAGCTCTTGATACAGATCCATACTTATTTCATAAAATGGACTAGTGCACATATGCTCAACCTCATTAAACTATTTTGGAAATAAGCTCTTATGTTTCTCAATTGTAACTTCAAGTTGTTGTTCATAGTCTCCTAACATTTGCACAAGTCGCCTATATTATTCTCCAACGTCTGTTTTAATTTCCTATGAGCAGACTAAATCCTAAAATGATAGAAAACATCAAATAAGAAGACTAAAACCTTAAAATGATTTTTAAAAAAATCAAATATTACAAAATAAAGCTATTAAAAGTATGTACATATTAGTCGTGTTGTTGCCCAAATATAGCACTTGATTGATCTTTGCTCCAAAATATATATGTATGTGAGAAGTCAACCATGTCTCTTTCACATAATCAATGAATCCAACATAATCAACACAAGTTTGCTCAAGCCATTACAATCGTTGATGATACTCCACCTCATCACTAGTTCATACAAATCGTCCATAGAGTTTATATCACCTCTTGCATGTCATTCACAACATATTGCTTGCATCTTACTTTTACATTTTTGTTGATGTGAAATCATCAATAAATTAATCGTCTTTGAACATTCACCAAAGCAAGATTTTTATCGGTCAAAATCATTTATGGTTCATTCCATTCATTCCTAAATAGTCAAAAAATATATGAATATTTTAAAAAAAATACTAATAAATTTATAAAAATAGGTATTATTTTTATATAATCATTTATAAAAAATGTATTTCATCAATTATAAAATTAATATAATTAATTTTGAAAATAATCAAAATGCTTATGAGAAGTGTCTTATAATTACAAAAAATAAAATTGAGTATTTTTTTTCCAATTACATCTTCTAATTAATATAATCTACATCACTACAAAATTATTATTCTTCGCTTCATATTTAACATTATAAAAATACATTAATAATTAATAAAAGTAAATTAAAAAATTATCATTTGGTTTATCTTATTTTTCATTTTCTGATTTTTTTAATCTATATAAAATGTTCAAATACAATAGTGACAGGTAAAATTTATTGTAGAGATTATAATTCTAATCCGATTACATATTACGTAATCCAAAAACAAAATAACAAGAAAAACACAAATATATATTATTTGCAAAGATGAAAAACAAAACAAAAAAAGTTGTGCATTCCAAAACAAAACTTCACACACATCATTGAAGTTTTACGTAAAAGACAAAGTTAACTTGTGCTCTCAATAGAAAAATATTAGTAGAAGAACGGTGCGTTGGCACGGGCATATATTTTAAGTAATTTGCAAACACTTATGTATTGAAAGTTTTAAAATTGTTTTTCTCAATGTAAAATTTTATTTTCAATTTGTTTAGCATGACTTAGAGTTGGAAATTTTAAATTACAAAATTAAAATAATTAAAAAAGGAAAAAAATAATTTAAAATTTAAATAAAAAATTAAAATACTACATTTAAGACAACATTTCTATATTAGATTTATGTGCCTAAGGCACAAAACCATAAAGATGTAGTGGAATAAGAATTTGTGCATACATAGATATATTACTAGTTTTATAAGAATAAGCTCTCGTGAAGTTGCTAAGAAATTTATAATGAGGAAAAGAACGATCCCCTATACTAGTAGAAGGAAAACTAAAACATAATACATTTTTTAGTTTTCGTCATCAGAATCAAAAGCATGTTTTTTCTTCAAAGATTTTATGACATCCAGACGCTTATCACCTCTAGATATGCACTCACCTGTAAAAGACTTGACTTTCGGAACATTCAAAGAACTAAGCTGTGGTGTCACTGTCCCCTTGTTAATTTCCTTGAGCACAGAACGAGCTGTAGCTGCAGCTGCAGCATCTGCCATCGCCGAAGCAATTTTTGAACCACTTGGAAACTGGTCATTGTCCTCATTTTGTTCATCTGTTTGTCCTTGTTCCTTGGGCAGATTCTTAGAATCACCAGGTGATTGATTTGCACCTGGTTTAGGCATGGAGGCTACAGCCTCAGCAACTGTTGCTTTAGCTCTTGCTGCTTCATATTTCTGCATGTCATAGATCAGTTCTTTCTGCAGCTGTTTATCAGCAACCAATATGTCATCGATCTCATTCTTGTAGTCCTTGAGAAGAACTCGTAGGCATTCCATGAGAGAACCTATGAGGGGACTGTTCTTGGTTTCCAGTAGACGTTTCAACTCTATGAAGATGGGTATAGTGTTTTGAATGAGGCCCTTCTTGACTGCCTGAGTTATAGCCTTTCGAGTTGAAGATCCATTTTCTCCCCCTTCTTCTTCTAAGTCTGCCGACTCAGATGATCCACGAGTGGATTGAATGCGTATCTCTTTACAGCCAAGAATTTGAAAAGTATCCTGATCCCACAGTTAATGTTATAATTAGGACATAAATTGAGATGTGCTAAATTATGTGTCAGGATAAGTTGATGACTATTGCTGGTAAAGATGTTATAAAGATCAATACCTGTAGAACAGACTGTCCAGTTGCATCTTCTATATTAAGCATACCATCAGAAGCTGCAGCTAGAATTTCTGCACATAACTTGGCAAAGGTTGCGAGAAGATGCTCCGGAGCCATTTGCTTTAGTAGAGAAACATAAATATGCATTCTTCTAGACCTTGATTTTTCATCAGCACCCCTACAAAAAATGATGCAACATATGTAAGCACACAAAATACGTCAACTGCATAATTGTCTTACCAATTGCTAATTGGGATCCCTTTACCTGATGGAGAAAAGTTGGCTGTCCTTTCGTGATTCACCGGACTCACGATGTCCAATATGGGCATGGCAGTCATTCAAAACAAAAACAGCCTCAACAAAACTATTATATGCTAAGAGAGGAGCCTTGACTGGTGACAAAAAAAACTAATCAAAGTCATAAAACAAATGTTATTCAATTCATGTAACTGCAAGTAGAATTACCAAGGTAGAGATTCAAACCTTTCAGAATATTTCCAAAGAGGAAATCTGCTAGCTGCCTAATCTTTTCTGATTCATCAACAAGTGACAAAAGGAAACGAAGAAATAGCACTCCTCTCCACTTCACATAGTCCCTCTAGGGTAAAAGAAAAGTAGAGTGTTTTTAGCCACAACTAAAAGCAAGGGTGTGAAATAGAAGCAGAAGAGGACATATTTAAACGCCAGATAATTATAAAGTGTAAAACTGAAACAGTGTAGTCATAGAAGGAAAGAAATAATACCTGCAACAGTCTGGATAGCAATATGAACGTTTGCCTTCTCACAAGTTCACAGGGATCTAAGAGACACCTTGTGATCTTGGTTATATAACTGATAGCTTCAAAGGAAAATAAGTTAGCAAAAAGATACAATTTACTTTACATTATTAAATGTATATGTTCTGCATACTGTGCACATTGGACTTTTATAGAGCACCATATCACAATGGGTTGGATGACTCAATAGTGGGCCCAAGTCACACAATCAGAACTTCTAGAAGGGTGTGGAAGCTGGAGGAAATAGGAGTTAGTTAGCATTCTCCTTATTTTTAGGGAGGATGTTCTATTAATAAAAGGAAGGGGAAGGGGTTAGAGAATTCATTGATAAAGTTTGTTAGAAAACAGTTAGGAGAGAATTCATTGATAAAGTTTGTTAGAAAACAGTTAGGAGAGAATTCTCTCTGGTTTAGGAGCCTAGCTATGGTTTAGGAGTTCTTAGAACTCTGGCTTACCTTTTTCTTGTACCACTTTCGCCATTGTAGTTTCCATTCAATAATATACTGTTTCTGCTCGAGTTTCTGGTTTCTATCAGACTTCTTCCCCGGCACAAAGTACTAGTTTTCTCATGTTTATTTCATACATTAATTGTTTATCTTCAATTTGTATAAGAATGTTAGATTTTTCCATTTGCATTATTAAACTTGTTTTATTCAAAATCACTTTAAAGCAGTATCTCTTACAAGGCTTACCCATCAATAAGAGCAGTGTACCGAACACAGAAGTCTGTCATCATGACCACAATATTATTGCGAAGAGCTGCAGCATCGCTCTTTTCAAGCTCCTGCAATTGTATCCCAAAACAGGACATATCTTGATTATGAAGTAAGAAATCAAACACTAGTCCTTGAGGCATAAAACAAAGTCTCAAGACCAACCTGTACAAACAGAGGAATATAGTTTTTTGCAAGCTTCCCATCAGCAAGGCAAAGTTTGCCCATGGCCAGCCACCCTTGAATGTAAAAAGATGGAGCTTCTTGTTGTAGAGTGGTTGCAGGGCCGGGTAGCTTATTTAATTTCGGGCCTGAATTCCCAGAGGTGATGATAGTGTGCAATAGTGGAGTTACAGCACTCATATCAGCAGTTGGGCAGACAATAACTAAAGACCCAATTGTATAAATAGCCGTGATTGCTTTTGACAATGATTTGCGCTTTCGTACTGATTTCCTACCTTTACTAGGCCCACTTCTAGGTGGAGTAAAGAAGCCAGTTTCAGCATCTTGCTCTGAATTATCTGAAATAAAAGTTTCTATTATTTGAGAAGCTCTAGACAGAACTTGGTGAACCCATTTCAAGACTAATGCTTCTGCCTCCATGTCATTTGAAGCTTTTCGCTTGCATAATGTTTTAAGTGCTTTTACATGAGCATCAACCTGTCAGCCAAAGTAGCAATTCATTATAGATTTGTAGTGCACTATTAGCAAAAGTAGCATTTCATTAAAGTTTTGTAGTATGCTGAATGACATTTTTTGTCTTTTTATCTTGATTCTCAAATACTAACTAATATTTGTCTACGAAAATATCGGTTCCATCGACTATGCTTAAGAAATTATTCAATATTTAAGTATAGACCGTGGGGCTACTGATTGTGTTTGAAACTGAGATTATCAGAGAAATAATATTTATATGCAAATAATGTTGTCTATGAGTGATCATTTCTTCTTTGTTGGCGCATGAAGGGCGTGAATAAGATGAAAGCTTAAGCATCAGATGGAGAAAAAATTTGAAGAACCTATAAAAGGAGAGAAATGATAATTTCAAGAGGACCTCCAGCCCAGTCTATGAGAAACTGTGATCATAGACAAAATCCGATACTACAATATTTGATGTGCTAAGAAATTATGAAACATGACGCAAAAGATGGTAATTGAGAGACGGAGAAGTATATGAACTTTTTAGTCATGCAGAACAACTAAATCATATCCTTAACAATGTATGACAGAACGCCATCAAGGGAACCATTCAAGAATGAGGCAAGATTAAGAAGCACTAGTGTTAGGATTTAGTTATGAACTCAATCAATAATACTATTTAATGATTACCTCTGTTGAATGCATGTTGAATTTTTCAACCCTTTTGAGTAAGTTGTGAGCCAAATCAGCAGCAGGTTCAGGTGGCAGCTCAATAGAAACATTAGAGATTGTTTGCAATAGGAAAACTCGGTCACTAGCCCAGGCAACATTGTTGCATTCTATGCTTTCTTCCTCTCCAGTTGCATTTTTCTGTACAAATGGACTTTGAAACTCACCATTCACTTTATGTTTGTCAAGAAGCTGCCAATGATGATGAAGAAAATCCCAGTCCACTGCTTTTGGAAGGAATACTGACACCTCTGATAAAAGAAACCAAGCACCTGGTGGGGCAGTCCACTTGTCTATCGGCTTGCTATGGTTCAGCCAGATAGACTCGGACACCTTGATTATATTCTGAAGTGCAGTAACAATTTTGTGTTTCAAGCGTTTCTTTTTGCCCATGTTTGTGCAAATTTTTTTAACCCAGGGACTCACCTCTCCATTGCAAATCTCTCTCAGGAGATAGAGAATTCCTGGAGGGAAAGACATCTCCATCTCTTCGTCTACCCCTTTTTCTTTCTCTTTGCTACCAGACGTAGATCCAATATATGAAGAGGAAGAAGCTGCGCCTCTAGATATTCGGTCCAGAACAAGTTCTTCAAACATATTCTCGCATTCTTCTTGGATGCTAGTTTCATTATCAGCTATTTGACGAGGGACTGAGTGTAGCCACTCAGTTATTACCTTTTCAGCTGAGAATGTTTTGAAAACCTACATAACGGTAAAGTAAATTCCATAAATTAGATACTGTTATTAGTAAAAAGGTAACAAGAAAAAGACAGAACTTTTAGGGGACTAGTGAGATGCCTAACAGGAAGAAAATTAGTTTTAAAATTCCTCAATTAAACTTGTAAACCAAAATCCAAATATCGAAGGGATTGTTTCATTTCTCCTCCTCTCACTTATCCCTCCTAACCAAAGAATGCCTAATAGAATTATTTATATTAATTTTACTAACTCTCTTGTGTACAAACACTTAAATTTAAATTAAAAACAATGAAAAAAATAAAAGAGAACACGGTATTTTTGCTATCTTCAGTAAAAATTCAAATAGTTCTAACAATGAGAGAAGAAGAAAAAAACATGTGATTTCTCAATCCAAATATACAAAATTTTGCATATTGCATCAGTTTACAATTCTACCTCTTCCCAAAGCATGGCACAACAAAACCCTGATGAAAAAAGGGTAAAAAGAATACCTCAGAAAGAGCTTCAAGTGCCGCTTTCCGGATGCTAAGGAGTGAATCGGAACAAGCCATTCCCATTGTCTTAAGCACCACTTCATCAATAGCACCTCCAAGCAGAGCAGTCAATTTAGTAACAAGCAAAAGAGCAGCTTTTCTCACAACCGCCTTCTCATCCACACACCTTCTCCTGAGCATCTCATTGATTCCCTTTCCTCCCACACTCGCAACATTCCCATCGCCAAAACCCATAAACTTTTTCAAAACCACACTAGCCCTATCACTACCTGATAGAAGCTTAACAACCTGCGCTAAATTCGACAACGCCCGAGCTCGAGTCATAGCACTAACATCCGAACAACGCTTTACCAACGCCTCCAAACACCACATACCCCACGCCTCTTTCGCTTCTCCTTCTTCTTCAATGGAATTCACCCCTAAAGGATCCTTCAACGTAGTTACCAGATTCAAAATAAGATCAACCCCCAAAAGCCTTAAATTGCCTTTTCCTTGAGTCATCTTCACAACATACTTCACAAACCCAATTTGATCCTCCAACTCCATAACCCTAACAACCTCCATGATAAACTCCACAGACAACCCTCTAGGTTCAGCTTTATCCGGCGCCTTAATCGCCAAATACCTAGGAAAATTAACCAAAGCTTTCCTCACACCAACAGAATCCCTAGCAAGACTCGTGACAAAACCAACAGCAAAAGTCCTTACTGTAGATTTCGGCATAGAAGCAAGCGGAGACAGAGACTTCAAAACCTCAGCAGCAGTCTCGGAAGGCTCACCGTGCTCCGGTTTCAAAACCTCTTTCAGAATCCTCGCGCATAAAGCAACCAATTTACTGTACTGAAACTCATCTCTACACGATTCAATAGCTGTCAAAGGAACCTCTGAAATAGTCTGAATCAACGATTTGAGACTTTCAGGGAAACGATCGAGGTGAATCAACGACATAACACTAACAAGCTTCTCGAAAAGAGAAAGCAAAACCCTAACATCGAGATTATGTTGAGAGTTTGTGGAATTAGGTTCATCTTCATCATTTTCTGTGTTTTTTTTGTTTTTGGAACCGCGTTTTCGCTTGGGGCGCTGCTGAGAGTTGTTGGAAGCGTTGTTGTTTTTGAAAGAGCGGCGAATTGAACGGAGGAAGGAGAGAAAGGAAAGAGGAGTAAAGAGAGTGAAAACGGGAGCGTCTGGGGAGAGGAGAAAAGAGAGGAAAACGTGAGAAGCGAGGAGAGAGTGAGGAGTTGGAGATGAGTCCATTGCGGTGGCGATGGGTGGGATGAGGTGGGAAGGTGAAACGGCGTCATAGAGTGCTTCTAGGGCTTGCGGGTTTTTGAGGAGTTTTTGGAGATCTGAGAGGGATTGTTCGGAGAGAGGCTGTGGGTTGTCGGGACGGTGGTTTTCACGGAGGTCTTCGATCTCCGTTGCTATTCTTGATATGGTTTCGTCCATCTCCGGCGCCGACGGTGGGCACTCAGCAAGATTTTTTCACTTGTCTCTCGTTTTTCTGTGTTTTTATTTTATTTCGAATTTTTTTCCCGCTTGATGTGAACTATACAAATACACAAATATAACTGGTGCGTATTAATGTGGTAAGTATGTTTTTAAAATATAATAAAAAAATTGTTTTACCAAAAAATTTATATTTTTTAATAAAAATTATATTTAAAAAAAAAAAAATTTAATTTATCAGAGTTATTTTTTATCAATAATATATATTTCAATTTTTTATATATTATTTTAAAAAATATTATTTTTTAAAACAAAAATAATTTCAAAATAAAAATATTAATAATATAAATAATTTTAAAACGACACATTTTTTTTCGTGTTTGGATTTATATATTATTTTTAATATATTTATTTTTACTTTCTTTAATTGTATAAAAAATATAATAATTTGTGAGTTCGCATGCATTCGTTCGCATGCGTTCTGATATGATTATCCGTGCGTTGACACAATACTGATGCGGTACTCGTACATTCGCACGGGTACCGATGTGATATGCACGCTTTTATATTAAAAATGTAATAAAAATGTAAATAAGAAAATAAAATTGTTTTACTAAAATTGTTTATTATTTTTAAAAGAAAGACATATTTTTAAAATAAAAGCAAAATTATTTTATCAAAATTGTTTTACATCGATAATATATATTTCAATTTTTCATATATTATCTTAAAAAATATTGTATTTTAAATTAAAAATAATTTTAAGATAAAAATATTATTAACATAAATAATTAAAAAACAACACATTTTTCTCGTGCGTTCGCATAGATACTGAAGTGGTGTGCGTGCTTTTGTTTTCAAAATGTAATAAAAATGTAAGTTAGAAAAACAAAGGTTCGCGGAAGTCTTACACGTAAAGTCATCTTTATAAGTTTAATCATTGTAGAGAACAACTTCAAGCGATATAAAACAGCATAATTAAGAGGTTTGTCTGGTATAATGTTATCATCGACAATCCATGGATGACCTGCCACAGAAAATCACCTAAGTTCCATAGCTTCGAGTTTCAACTCCATTCTAATCATTGTTCAAGTATTTCAGACAAAATATTACACTTGCTCTATTTGAAATTTTATACTTACATAACACTTGGTAAGTTGTAAACCTAGTTTTCGGATTCATATAAACATTTTTCTAATTAGATCATTGGAACTGTCTGAAATCTCAGATCATGTCTCGGATAGAAAATCAATTCTTCCCTGCAAAATATGTTCGAAGATCCCTTGTTCTGTTTCTGTAAGCTAGAAAATTTGCACAACAGTATTAACAATAAGGAACGATGAAAGTTAAGAAAACCAAAACATACCTACAGCCTGCAACTCCATATGATAATTTGTCATTGCTTCGACATTATTTTATTAATTAAATCTCTTTCTATCATAAAATTGCCAATAGAATAAATGAAATATAAAGATGGTTACTTACTTTAGATTTGGGAGAGAAATATTTTATAATACATTTAGCCCCAAAAAGGAATGCATTATTATCAGTTGTGATGCACGAATCTACATAACCTTCACTATTTAATTGGGTGTAGAGTGCTTCAGCCTCACCTTTAGCTTTTAGTACAGGAATCCCGAGTAGTTCAGCAAATTTCTATCACCAATTAATTATAAGAAAAGTCTGTCAAAAGAAATCTAACAAAAAAAAAACCATAATCAACATTTGGAAAGTAAAAAACTTAAATAGATCATATTTTGATTGTATCTACTATATTGCAAATTGTAAAAATAACTAAGTTACATCAGGTCATCACTCCATCAAAAATATCAAGATTTTCCTGTACCAAACTTTAATCTTTCACTTTTAAAACCTATAATTAAGGGAAAAAGATTACAACAAATAATAATTTTAAAACAACCTATCAACTAAGCTAATCTCAGCACCACCAATAGATTGATTTTCACTTACCTACAAATATTTGCATAGTTATTTTCATAGAATACGCTGAAGAGCAAATTCACATGTTTCTCGAACCTCTTGAGCTGAATTAGAATTCAAACTATGAATCAAGAGTGATTGCCAATTCATCCATCTTTTTTAGAGTTTCATTGACACTTTCCATTTCACCTACAAATTATGATATTTTTGTTAAATTGTAATTCGATTGTGTCGAAAGAGATTAGATTTGTTTTAGATTTAAATAAGATTTGATTTAGATCTAAAACATAATAGATTTGATTTTGTACCAAAATAGGTATTTTGGACTTTTATAGTTTTAGACTTAGGGTGCAAGCTAAATCTATAAATAGAGGGAGTAATCCCTATTTTGTAATCAAGTCAATTAAGTTATATTCACAGAATCTGCAGTTGCAAGTGAATAACAAAGTTTTCGACAGTTTGTGGGAAGAGAGAAACTCTGCAGAAAATAATTATCTTCTTTCTTTTCTTTTCGTTCTCATAATTCATTGTCATTAAGGAGAAATCCATCATAGATATTTGGTGGATTTCCAACATCTGGTATCAAGAGCACAATTTCGATTCAAGGAAAGTATCAATCAAGAACGATTGAAGAATTTATGATGGCGAATTATGAGAATGCAAATTATCCAGCAACTCTACCAATTATGAAAGTAGACAACTATGAGAATTGTTGCAAACAGATGAAAGTGTTGTTCAGGTGTCAAGGGCTTTGGGACCTTGTAAAAGATGGAGTCGAAGCGCTGGAAGAAAGCGCTTCAAAAGAAGAAAAGAAGAAAAGAAGAAACACACAGAAATTGAGAAGCTGAGTTATAAAGCACTATTTATAATTCATCAATGTGTGAGTCCAGAAAACTTTGAAAAAGTAAGTGATTTAGAATCTGCAAATGAAGCTTGGGATGTTCTTGAGAAGTCCTTTGGTGGTGCATAAAAGGTGAAATAAGTGAGGTTACAAACTCACAAGAGAAAGTATGAATTGCTTCAGATGGAAGATAGTGAGAGCATATCTGATTTCTTCACTAGAGTTACAAAACTAGTGAATCAAATCAAGGTATGTGGAGAAATATTAACAACAAGAGTTGTTGTTTCGAAGATCTTGAGATCTTTAGCTCCTAAGTCCGACCACATAGTGGTGGTGATGGGAGAAGGGAAAGACTTGTCGAAATTGACAAAGAAAGAGCTTTAAGGGACGCTTGAATCTCATGAACAAAAATGAATGAAAGAGCTGCAGGCAAATCGAAGAGTGATGTGGCCTTGCAGGCACATTCATCAAAATAAACCAAAGGCAAAGGAAAATGTTTTGATAGAGGTAGAGACGGCTACAACAAATCGAATGGTAGAGGAAACCAGAATGAAGAAAACTCTTTGAATCAAAGAAGACCACACCAAGGCAACCAAATAGGTGGTGTAGTTGTTTAGTTATTGGCTTGCATTTTTGGTAAAACCAGGTGTGTGTGTGTGTGTGAATGTCATGACTGATGTCATAACATTCTAGTTTAGTTTGTACTGATTCATTAGGTACCTTTGCAGAAAAATATTGTCATACAGGTGCTGCTGTTTATAAGTGTGTATCTGAGCATTTTGCAAAAAGATCACATTTACCTAAATCAGTAGACAGGTTCTCAGATGTCATAACAAATGTTAAGACATCCTGTTCTGAACTAACAGTTATGCAGTTTGGGTAATTCTGAGTTTTTTCAGGATTATGACTCAGTCTTTCCAGAACAGAAAATGTTGTGGACTTAGGGTTAACCTATCTCAACCCTAACCTGGTTGATAAAGTCATGTGACCTAGTCTTAAGGTCAAACGGAATTAACCCTAGCTTTTTGTGGAAACCCTAACTGAAGGTGTAGCTGCTATATATTCAACAGGGCTGTTGTTTTGAATGTATCCCTTTTTGACATAAGATCTTTTAGAAGCTGTATAGTTTTAACTATTGTAATCCAAGCAATTATCATTGTGATAAGTGACTTGGAATAGGTTTTAATTGTAAGGGTTGTGTATCACTCAAAGCTTTGAAGCAAGAGTGTTTGTATGTCTCTTGACTAAAGCTGTGAAGCAAAGTCAAGTTAGGTCTGTGTATCACTCAAAGCTGTGAAGCAAGAGTGTTTGTGTTGCTTGATTAAAAAGCTGTGAAGCATAATCAAGTGTATGTTTTGAAGAGTGTCTTCATCAATTCATTAGTCAAATTGTTTTATGTATCACTGCTGTGATTGAGGGGGAGTGAGTAGGAACTCAGGTTTAAGTTGTACTTAGATTGAAGTTGCATTGGGTAGGTCTTAAGTGAAGGAGATAAACTGGTTGGTTTATTCCTGAATTAATATCTCTTATAGTGGATTTCCTCCCTGGCTTGGTAGCCCCCAGAGTAGGTGTTGTTGCACACTGAACTGGGTAAACAATTGACTGTGTTCTTTACTGTTTTTGTATTTACTGTCTTATAGAAAGTCAGATACGGTGTCATAACATTGAACGTGACATTGAGTATCTGCAGCCAGAATTTCAATTGGCATCAGAGCAGGCACCTTGCCTGTATTACTGGGTGAGATCTAGGGATATCACTTTCTGGCACTATGGACAAAGAAGGAGTTTTTGGAAATAGACCACCCATTCTGGATGGAACAAATTATGACTACTAGAAACCTCGTATGATTGCCTTCTTAAAATCTCTGGACAAAAAGGCTTGGAGAGCTGCTGACAAAGGATGGATCCATCCCACCATAACTGAGAAAGATGGGACAATCAGTTTGAAGCCTGAGGAAGATTGGAGTAAAGAAGAAGATGAGTTAGCCCTGGGAAATTCCAAAGCTTTAAATGCCTTGTTCAATGGAATTGATAGAAACATTTTCAGACTAGTACATCAATATGAATTGGCCAAGGAAGTTTGGGACACTCTCAAAACTTCTCATGAGGGCACTTCCAAAGTGAAAATGTCAAGGCTTCAGATGTTGACTACCAAGTTTGAGAATCTAAAAATGATGGAAGATGAAACCATTCATGAGTTTCACATGAACATCTTGGA